CATCCCATAGCAATCATGATTCAGAGTGCCTAACACTAGTTGCCAAGATAAATTGGCAAATGAGGGAGAAAAACTATTATCACCACATCTCCCCATCTCTGGCAGTAAAAAAAAAGCCAACAACAAATAAAATAAGTCTGCAGTGAGGTGAAGATGGGGAGAGAAACATTGCATGGACAAAGTGATTGAGTCAGTGGAGGTAAGATGGCCATGGGCATGCTGAAAAACTCCTAATAATAATAATAATAATAATAATAATAATACAGAATGGTTTCCAGTTCACAAGGGGATCTGGCAGGGCTCATGTCATCATTCTATCTCTTTAAATGGTATGACAAAAACATCATAAGTACAGCAGAATTAGACTCAGAGGAAAGAGCATCAACACTTCAGAATGAATGCATTTTGACACCCTGAGATTTGCTGACAACACCATATTGCTAGCCAGAAATATCAAGGACTTTGAACCACAGAAGAAAATGCAAAGGCAGGTTTGTAGCTGAAAACAAAAATACATAATAACCGCAAACAATTTCATAGAACAGTGATTCTCAACCTGTGGGTCCCCAGGTGTTTTGGCCTACAACTCCCAGAAGCTCCAGCCAGTTTACCAGCTGTTAGGATTTCTGGGAGTTGGATGCCAAAACATCTGGGGACCCACAAGTTGAGAACCACTGTCATAGAACAATAAACAATCTGGGCCAGCTAATCACCTGCCAACGAAGGATTCCTCCAGGCAGTAAGAAGCCAGACCTTGAAACTGCTAGGCCATTCAATGCTAAACAAGGTGGTGGACTTTGAACCACAGAATAAAATGCAAAGGCAGGTTTGCAGCTGAAAGCAAAAATACGTAATAATTGCAAATGATTTGCATAGAACAAGAAACAATCAGGGCCAGCTAATCGCCTCCCAACAAAGGATTCCTCCAGGCAGTAAGAAGGTACACCTTGAAACTGCTACGCCATTCAATGCTAATCAAGATGGCAGACTTTGAACCGCAGAAGAAAATGCAATGGCATGTTTGCATCTGAAAACAAAAATACGTAATAACCGCAAATGATTTGCATAGAACAAAAAACAATCAGGCCAGCTAATCACCTCCCAACAAAGGATTCCTCCAGGCAGTAAGAAGCCAGACCTTGAAACTGCTAGGCCATTCAATGCTAATCAATGTGGCAGACTTTGAACCGCAGAAGAAAATGCAAAGGCAGGTTTGCAGCTGAAAACAAAAATACATAATAACTGCAAATGGTTTGCATAGAACAAGAAACAATGAGGGCCAGCTAATCACCTCCCAACAAAGGATTTCCCCAGGCTGTAAGAAGCCAGACCTTGAAACTGCTAGGCCATTCGATGCTAATCAAGGTGGCCAATTGTAACATTCACAACTACCTCAAGCAGACAAGAGTTCTTTCTCCCACCCTGAATGCCATTCCACAGATATATAAATCCCATTTTCCTAGTTAGGTGGCTGGGGGGAAGGAGAGGGCCTGAGGCTCTTAGGAATTGTGGAAGTTGAAGTCCTAGTTTCCAACAGACCTCACAACCTCTGAGGATGCCTACCATAGGTGTAGGCAAAACTTCAGAAGTGAATGCTTCTGGAACATGGCCATACAGCCTGAAAAACTCACAACAACTTATATTATCTTATTGTTAAATCCAGTGAATTTCAACTTCTCATACAAACTTTCTCTCCTTGTTTTTTCTCCTGCATTCATATGCCTTTTTGTCTCTCGAGCAACAACAAAATGTTTTCCTCCCCTAACTTTCTCAAAAGGCGAACTCCCTCCTAGTTTCGGATAGATGGCAGTGTTTCCTTCTTTTTCAAATGGTGAGCAATTATTTAACTGGTAGCGCCACGTTAGGGCATAAGGCAAGCCCTGGCACCATTATTATAGTGACACATAATAGCTGGAGAAAGAGAGAGATGAGATACCTTTTGTAAACAGACCCATCTGCCAATTATAGCCAACCTTTATATCTTTTGGGTTGGAAAGGTGAAGCAAGGTTTGGATAGAACTGTGCTGACGCTATCCAAGGTGCTACCCTTCTCCTTTTGAAGCAATGTGCTAAATCTCATGATATGGAGTGAAAAACAAAACAAAACCCAAATGCGTTTTTTTTATGGACAATTTAATGCACAAGAGACTATCTGTCATCTGTATTTTCTATTATCTCATATATCTTATTTATTATTTATTTACAGTATTTATATTCCACCCTTCTCACTCTGCAGGGGACTCAGGTTGGATTACAATGCACATATACATGGCAATGCTCTTTAGACATACAACATATATAGACAGACACATAGGCAATGCTCAATTCCGGCCACAGGGGGAGCTGCTGCTTCACCATCCACTTGTGATGCCGAGTCTTTTGATGGAGTACGTCCTCATTCTTTTGCATGCTGCTGGAAGGTTTTATGGTGGCTTAAATTAGTTGATTTATTTATTTATTTATTTATTTATTTACTATATTTCTATACCGCCCTTCTCAGCCCGAGGGCGACTCAGGGCGGTTTACAAAACTGGCACAGTTCAATGCCACAATAATATAAACAGTGGGTTGTTGTAGATTTTTTCGGGCTATATGGCCATGGTCTAGAGGCATTCTCTCCTGACGTTTCGCCTGCATCTATGGCAAGCATCCTCAGAGGTAGTGAGGTCTGTTGGAACTAGGAAAAAGGGTTTATATATCTGTGGAAAGACCAGGGTGAGACACAGGACTCTTGTCTGCTAGAGCTAGGTGTGAATGTTTCAGCTGATCACCTTGATTAGCATATAATGGCCTGACAGAGCCTGGAGCAAACGTTTGTTGAGAGGTGGTTGCATGTCCTTGTTTGTTTCCTCTCTGATGTTGTGCTGTCCTAATTTTAGAGTTTTTTAATACTGGAATCTGTGGAATGACTAAGGTGAGACAGAGGACTCTTGTCTGCTGGAGCTAGGTGTGAATGTTTCAACTGACCACCTTGATTACCATATAATGGTCTGACAGTGCATAGAGCAAACTTTTGTTGAGAGGTGATTAGAAGTCCTTGCTTGACATCTCTCAACAAAAGTTTGTTCTAGGCACTGTCAGACCATTATATGCTAATCAAGGTGGTCAGTTGAAACATTCACACCTAGCTCCAGCAGACAGGAGTCCTTTGTCCCAACCTGCTCATTCCACATATATATATAAACCATTTTTCCTAGTTCCAACAGACCTCACTACCTCTGAGGATGCTTGCCTTAGATGCAGGCGAAACGTCAGGAGAGAATGCCTCTAGACCATGGCCATATAGCCCGAAAAAACCTACAACAACCCAGTGATTTCGGCCGTGAAAGCCTTCGACAATACATAATATAAACAGTTAAAAGCCTATAAGCATCCTTAAAATTCCATAAACAATAAAATCAATAAAACATTACCCTCCCCACATAAAGCGGTACCTAAATTTCCTACTTGACAGATTCAACTATCTTTCAGGCTGCATAGGTCAACAGCAAGCTAGAGTATTAATGGACGGGAGCTTACTCTGACCTGGGCTAGCTTAAAATTCAGGAACTCTTGGCCAGTAGTGATTTAATGCAGCTGACTATTAACTAGCTGTGTCACAGCCCGGTCATCCTCTCTGTTTATATCTATATCTATCTATATCTATCTATCATCTATATCAGGCATGGGCAAACTTGGGCCCTCCAGGTGTTTTGGACTTCAACTCTCACAATTCCTAACAGCCGGTAGGCTGTTAGGAATTGTGGGAGTTGAAATCCAAAACACCTGGAGGGCCTAAGTTTGCTCATGCCTGCTTTAAAAGCCTTGGCAGAAAATTGACATTTTCATTTGCCAGCAAAAGTACATCAAGGAGGAAGGAACTATCCTAGGGTGCATCTACACAGCCAAATTGATGCAGTTTGACTCTACTTTAGCCTCCATGGCTCAGTGCTATGGAATCCTGGGATGTGTAGTTCGTGTGAGGCACCAGTCTCCTTTGGCAGAGAAGGTGACAGATTTTCATAGACTCATAGAATCCTAGAGTTGGAAGAGACCTCATGGGTCATCCAGTCCAACCCCATTCTGCCAAGAAGCAGGAAAATTGCATTCAAAGCACCCCCGACAGATGGCCATCCAGCCTCTGTTTAAAAGCTTCCAAAGAAGGAGCCTCCACCACACTCCGGGGCAGAGAGTTCCACTGCTGAACGGCTCTCACAGTCAGGAAGTTCTTCCTCATGTTCAGATGGCATCTCCTTTCTTGTAGTTTGAAGCCATTGTTCGTGTCCTAGTCTCCAGGGAAGCAGAAAACCAAAGCTTTCTCCCTCCTCCCTGTGGCTTCCTCTCACGTATTTATACATGGCTATCATATCTCCTCTCAGCCTTCTCTTCTTCAGGCTAAACATGCCCAGCACTTTAAGCCATTCCTCATAGGGCTTGTTCTCCAGAACCTTGATCCTTAGAGTCACACTCCTCTGGACACTTTCCAGCTTGTCAATATCTCTCTTCAATTGTGGTGCCCAGAATTGGACACAATATTCCAGGTGTGGTCTAACCAAGGCGGAATAGAGCATGGGTAACATGACTTCCCTGGATCTAGACACTAAGCTTCTATTGATGCAGGCCAAAATCCCATTGGCTTTTTTTGCTGCAGCATCACATTGTTGGCTCATGTTTCACTTGTTGTCCACGAGGACTTTAAGATCTTTTTCACACATACTGCTCTCGAGTAAAAAAGATCTTGGGGTTTTTGCAAAACTACAACTTCCAGAACTCCATAGTATTGAGCCATGGCATTCCACAGTGCAAATGCATCCCTATTCTCATTTGAGGATTTCCAAGTCACCAAAAAGATCTTGTTTTTGATCCTGTTGGTTTTGATTTAAGTCTACTTCATAGGGTTGTTGCATGGACAAAATAGGGAAGAGAAATAATAAGGTTTGCAAACACAGCTCTGGTTATGCTGAAACGTGAAATGTGTTTGCTCTGGAATGTCATCTTGCTATTCTTTCCTGCTTGTCTAGAGGAAGAGGAGGAAGAGGAGGAGGAAGAGGAGGAGGATGAAGAGGAACCAGATGAGGACGAGGAGGACGAAGAGGAAGAAGATAATGACGACGACAGAGACCTGAACTCCATGGATGAAGTTTTGGATGGAGATGCTGACTTGTCCAGTTTCACAGTTCCTGGGGAGACTTCGCAGGAACCTTTGGAAGAGCTGGAGAACCCGGTAGGAGAGCTCTCTGGAGTCTCTTACCAGGTGCCGAGCGCAATCGAATGGGAACAGCAGAACCAAGGACTCGGTAAGCAAAATCCACTCTCTGTAGCAGTGTATCTCTCTCTCTCTCTCTCTGTATATGTATATGAGTAGATCAGTAGGTACCATTCTGATGGGAAGGTAACGGTGCTCCATGCAGTCATGCCAGCCAAATGACCTTGGAGGTGTCTACGAACTATTTATTTATTTATTTGGGGTTCTTGTACCCCGCCCTTCTCACCCCGTAGGGGACCCAGGGCGGCTTACAACAGCAAAGGCACGCTTAGATGCCTGCCACACAAAACAATCATCACAAAACTACAACAATTCATAGTTACCACAATTCATGCATTATCCCAATAAAATCAATAAAATCCATAAAATCAATAAAACCAATACAAACCTAATTCTTCCTCCTACCTTGTCAGTGTACACTAACTCATAGATCTGTTTTTGATTCCACTTCGACAATCCTGCTAATCTTGCTCGTCTGATTGTCTTATTTAATTGCCTGGTTGCCCAAAGGCCTGGTCCCATAACCATGTCTTCACCCTCCTCCTGAAGGAGAGGAGGGATGATGATGCTCTGATTTCCCCCGGGAGTGAGTTCCACAGGTGAGGGGCCACCACTGAGAAGGCCCTGCTTCTCGTCCCCACCAGCCTCACTTGTGACAGTGGTGGAGTCGAGAGCAGGGCCTCCCCAGATGATCTCAAACTCCGAGGTGGGACGTAAAGGGAGATACGTTCGGACAGATATACTGGACCGGAACCGTACAGGGTTTTGTAGGTCAAAACCAGCACCTTGAATTGTGCTCGGAATTGAACCGGCAGCCAGTGGAGCTGGTATAGCAGGGGGGTGGTGTGCTCCCTGTATGTCGCTCCAGTGAGCAATCTGGCTGCCGCTCGCTGGACTAGTTGAAGTTTCCGAACAGTCTTCAAGGGCAACCCCACGTAGAGCGTGTTGCAGTAGTCTATTCGGGATGTAACAAGAGCATGGACCACCGTGGCCAGATCAGACTTCCCAAGGTACAGACTTCCCAGCTTTTTGGCTTAGAACTGGAGATGAGCACCAACCCCCAGAGTCAGACACAACTGGACTTAATGCCAGGGGACAATCTTTACCTTTTACCTTATATATATGGATGCTGGTCAATGGACCTTTCGGGGCAGTATTTTGTAACCTCCGTTCCCCCTCCCGCCCCAAAGAAGAAATTCATCCAATATTGTCAGGAATCAAATGGGAGTACAATGGTATGCCTTTGTACTCTATCATTTATTTATTTCAAACATTTCTACCCCGCCCTTCTCAACTCCTGGGGGGACTCAGGGCGGCTTACAATTGGCAATAATTCAATGCCGCATCATAAAATACAGAATACAGAATAACAAACATAACAATTAACATGAACATTAATAAATAAAGATTAAAACAGTATACTTACACTCTGATTAGCTATTGCCCGTCTGGTGGCTGTTTAGCTAGCCATCTACTAATGATTACTCCGCTTAACTTATCCAAATCCTCTTCCATGCCATAGTCAACATTATCAATTGTCCTTTAACCTGATTGCCCGAAGGCCTGGTCCCACAGCCATGTTTTAACCTTTTTTCTAAAGGTGAGGAGGGATGACGATGACCTAATTTCCCCGGGGAGCAAATTCCACAGGCGGGGGGCCACCACCGAGAAGGCCCTGTCCCTCGTTCGCGCCAAGCATGGGGAAAATATCCATCCCATGGCTTGAAAATATTGCTCCCTCCAAAACATTCCAAAAGGAAACATTGATCTAGAAATGATATATAAGGGACCTCATTTTAGGAAACCGTTGTATATAAGAGGACTTGAGCTTTAATGGATCTGAGCAAATACCTGTTAGGTAGATTGGATATCAGGCTGGATCTACAGTGCCATATAATCCAGATTATCGAAGCAAATAATCCACATTATCTGCTTTGAACTGGGTTATATGGATCTATAGTAAAGGTAAAAGTTTCCTGACATTAAGTTTAGTTGTGTCTGATTCTGTGGGTTGGTGCCAGAGGCGGCCCATGTAATTTTCAACGGTAAGCAAACAGTATTTTGATGCCCCCCCCCCCCAACCAATCACTGATATATATTTTCTGTTCGTTGTGGGAGTTCTGTGTGCCATATTTGGTTCAATTCCATCATTAGCGGAGTTCAGAATCCTCTTTGATTGTAGGTGAACTATACATCCCAGTAAATACAACTTATTGTCAATGTCTATTTTCCCCCAAGAGCGCCTCAAGAGCACCCCTGGGCAAAATCAGCTATACTGCAAATGCTTACTTTGCGTAATGGATTGAGCTGCCCCTGGTTGGTGCTCATCTCCATTTCTAAGCCGAAGAGCTGGCGTTGTCCATAGACACCTCAAAGCTCATGTGGCCGGTATGGAGCGCTGTTACCTTCCCGCAGAAGTGGTACCTATTGATCTACTCACTCTTGCATGTTTTCGAACTACTAGGTTGGCAGAAGCATCCAAGATGTTCAGAGAAGGGCAGTCAAAGTGCTCAAAGGTCTAGAAGCAATGAATTCCTATGAAGAATGGCTTAGGAGACTTGGTATGTTTAGTCTGGACAAGAGTAGATGAAAAAGGGACAGGACTGCCCTGTTTAAATATTTGAAAGGATGTCACATTGAGGAGGGGACAAGCTTGTTTTCTGCTGTTCCAGAGACTAGAATGTGAAAGAATGGATTCAAGCTGCAGGAAAGAGATTCCACCAAAACAATGCTTAAGTCGCATTGACCATTCGTCTGCGCAGGGTTCTGTAGTTCACACTTTAACAACACAACCATTCAATGCTAAGGCTTCCTGCTAAAATGGAACTGTAGAGGAGAGTCTACTGAACAAGCCAGTACCTGCTGCATAGCAGTACTGCCATCTGCTGAGGAGTTACGAAGGTGGAGGCATTACTTTTCATTCAACCCTCGTATCCTGTATCTATGAGCATCTTTGCTCCAAAGTCCCTTCTCAGTCTCTGTGTGAGAAAAGAAGCAAATGAGATTTGCACCAATGTACGTCACAAAAGGATATTTGATTAAAAGGGGAGTTGTGGATGCCCGCTGGAGTTTTAATGACAAAGTTCACCTTCTGAAGGCAAAGTCTCTGACCTTTATAATTCAGGATGTTTCGTTTCAGAGAAAACTTGGCATGTAATCACTTGAGTCCTTTCTCTGCAACCTTCATTTTGTTAGATGAAAAAGTCCTTGGGGGTCTGGGAATTTCAGCGAAATAGTGCTTGGGGCAGGCAAATCTCGCTATAAATATCTCTTTCTTTTTGGTCATTTTTGCACATAGGTTTGTGGCTGAAAAGATGGCCAGAAAGGAAATGATTGTACAGCTTTCCTGTTGTCATTGCTCTCCTAAAATGACCCAAATCCCCTTTGTTTTGCTGCCATTTATTGAAAGGTTGAAGGTTGGAGGGAAGCTACTCTGGAGCTTTAGTGGATGCCTTGCATCTGCAGGTCCACATTTGCATATTAACTTCTCATTTCGTTTTATTCATGTAGTCATCCGTTGTGTGCGCCTTTGCTTTCCCCATGATAGTTTATGGTCAGACACAGGTATATCTGGCTTACAGTTCAGAGCAGCAATACCATTAGAACATGAGGGCAGGGTGTTGGGAGTTGTGATCCGAAATAGAACTGTATCTTTGCTCTGATTGTATTATTGGTATGAATAATATTACAGCAATGGATACTGTTAGCTGTTCAAAATTAATGGCACATCCTTTAGCTGCCATTCATTTTCCGGTCCCAATTCAAGGTGCAGGTGCTTACCTACAAAGCCCTAAACGGTTTGGGACCCGCCTACCTGCATGACCGCATCTCTGTGTACGAACCCACACAATCTCTTCGATCATCTGGAGAGGCCCTGCTCGCGCTCCCACCACCATCGCAAGCGCGATTGGTGGGGATGAGGGAGAGGGCCTTCTCGGTGGTGGCCCCTCGACTCTGGAACTCACTCCCCAGGGATATTAGACAAGCCCCAACTCTGGCAGTCTTTAGGAGGAGCCTGAAAACGTGGCTGTTTCAGTGTGCCTTCCCAGTGTGCCTTGTTATTGTTTTGCTTATTTTGCTATGAGTTTTTGTATTGTCTTGTTTTTGTATTATTGCTGTTATTGTTATTGTTGTGTTTGGGCTCGGCCTCATGTAAGCCGCACCGATTCCCTTGGGAGATGGTAGCGGGGTACAAATAAAGTATTATTATTATTATTATTATTATTATTATTATTA